GTAAAGTACACATGAATGGCCTTGCATTTCTTTGGATGTAACTTCATGTAACTGTTCGCAGTCCACTGTTCCAGGTCGTTGAGATCATGTTGTAGGAGTGAGGGTTTACGAGTTAGTCGGCTCTCAATCATTGAGAGATCGTCAACAAATTTCCAATTGGTGGATCGGGTCTTGACAGCGGCGCTGTTGATCATCGCTATGAAGATGATGGGAGCCAAAACAGTGCCTTGTGGGAGGCCGCAGGTAAGTATCTCCCACTCGGAAAGCGAACCCTGGTATAGGACCCGTTGTCTCCTCTCAGAAAGAAAGTCGCAGATAGAGCGGGTCAGTGAGGGTCTGCAGCCTAACTCTAACAGCCTTGATATCGCAGTTGTATGTTCGACCCTATCAAAAGCTTTAGAGAAATCAGTCAAGACGATGCTTCTAAGTGTACCTCTCCGGTCCGCGGTAGAACTGAGATGGTGAAGGATGTCCACTAGACAATGTGTTGTTGATTTCCCAGGAAGTCCGCCAAACTGTTTGGGGTCGATGTTCTGAATGATGTCTACCAACGTCCATTTAGCTACGAAGCCTTCACATACCTTAGCTAGTAGTGAGGTAAGTGAAACTGGGCGGAGTTCCTCTAAGGACGGAGGTTTTGTTTTGGGGATGGGGATGACGGTTGCCTCGCGCCATTCACGGGGGACGAGGCCCTCACTCAGGGATGCGTTCAGAATGCATGTCAGTGGCTGGCTCAGTTCGTATGCAAATTCTCTTATCAGCCGTCCTGTGATGTTGTCCGGACCGGCCGCCTTGCGGACACGTACTTTCTGCAACCTGTCGTACATCTCCCATACTTTCACCTGTGGCGGCTGTAGATCTGGGAGGAAGGCGGGCAGGAGACTGATGTCCAGCGGTGGGAGTGACAGGGTTATTTTGCTGAGGCTGCTGTTAATCGCATCGGCCGATGCTTTGTTGTTGTCCGGAGCAATTCCGTCTATGTGGATTACAGGATTGGTTCTGCCCAAGTTAGCCATTGACTTAATGTCCTTGTGCCAGTTGGCTGGGTCGTGTTTCCGTAGGCCTTGCACTTTACTACTGTAGAAAGACTGTCTTGCGCTTCGGATTTTCGCCTGCAGTTTGTTACGTACGACTTTCCATTCTGACGTCTTTCCGTTGTTAAGGGCTCGTTGGCGAAGGGATATGAGGTTCTTTATCTCAGGGGTGACCCATGGCTTGTCCTTACTATGGATCTTAATACGGCGCGTTGGGAAGTGCTCGGAGATTTTGTCCTGGAGTGTGTTGTACAGGGCTGTTGTCATGGCTTGGCTTCCCTCTTCTCGTGTGACCTCGGACCAATCATGCGATGTGATCCAAGCGCCGAACGAACGCAGTCTTGAGTCTTGCATAGGACGGACGGTTCTTCTCGTAGATTTGTTTGTCTTTGTTTGTTGTCCGGGTAAAAAGACTATAGATCTATGGTCACTCATCCCCAGTGGGGCGATTGCAGAACACGGACTGTAGAAGCGACCAAGATTGGTGATGATGAGATCTAGGGTGACGTCTTCTCTTGTTGGTATGTTGACTACCTGTTTCATGTTTGTGCTCCGACAGAAGTGGCTCAACTGAGGAAGCTGTGTCTCGATTTGAGTCTTTTACATGCAGGAGCATGTTGGTGAACTACATGGAGTGCCGCCACTGCTCTTTTTATGTGTGGTCGTGGGATGCCGCACAGCAGGTAGAGATCATCGACTCTCGTGGAGCGTAGGCATCGAGAGACGGCTCTACAGGCGGAGGTCAAAGCTTCAAAGCAAGTTCAATTTGTGGTATGTGATGACCTACACCGCACAGGGGCTGCGTGTTCTGCTGTAGAGAAGCACCGTCCAAAGGCTGTGGCTCGTGCGGTACTTGCATCTGCGCCCCACTTTGTCTTCGCGAGCTTCCTGCTTTTTGTCCTCCATTTGTAAAAACGAGGTTGTTTGCATCCATTGAACACTCACAGTTATGGGACTCCACTGGCACTAGAGTTGTATCAAAGTGACAAATTACCTACAGCAATTGTTTCCGCATTATCATGTTTTACCCAGCTTCTGCAGTATCAGTGAAGTGTATGTTCACCATTGGGGAAACTCCTCTGACGATGCATTGCGCAAACAAAGCTATTTTTTTATATTTTGTCCGTACAACTCCTTAGTAACATAATCCAATCTGTTCTCAAATCCGAGGTATTATTTCTCAACAGATTATTCCGCAATGCATTGGTGCGTCTGCAATCATACTCATATTCAAACTGTTGCCATTATGTGTATTTCTAGTTGTATGTTTTCTTTTATAAGGGCGATGGATGCCTTAACCCTCAAACACCCGACCGGGGTCCATTTGAATCCCAAGCGTATGTTTTATGTGCTATTTGAAATATTTCCATTCGAAAAAAATTCCTCCCGTGACTCCCGATAAACCTCTTCTATACGTTCTCCTAATTGTTTTTGGAGATTGTAAAAATTATAACTGAAGTCTTAAGTAAGACCGTCTCGGGTCCAAACGGACCCCAGCCATGTATTTGCACTTTCTCACAAACAAAATTGTTCGGATGTCCTCAATATGTCTTTAAGGAAGCATTATTGCTTCAATATTATGCAGTTTGCCAAGTAACCTCAACCTCAGAAATTAGGTCATCAGGTTTTCAGAGGTGTGACAATTTGACAAT